TTCACCATTTGCACCACCCAGGGAGAGCAGAAGACCAAGGTGCAGAAAACTCCAGCTTTTCTCTGGCTTCCTGTGAGCCAGGGGGGTATAGTGGTTACAAGCTGGGCATGGTCAGCACTTTGAGACCACCAGCAGCTCTGTGGGAGAAAGGGGGGCTTTCTACTCCTGTAAATCGTTACCGTCTCGGAAACCACAGGGGCTCACCAGGAGTCAGTATGGGCTCCGTGGCAGTGAGCCTGGTTTGGTGAGCCCACACAGTGGGGGCAGGGATGCCAAACGCACCGGCAATGGAGTGAGCAACCTTCTGCCTCTGGAAAGAAGGACATGGTGGTCAGTGTCGCTCACAGACTGGACGGCCAGGCAACCTGCGTTAGAATCCAGGACCACTGCTCGCTCCCACGCCATGGCTGTCTAGCAGGTTCGGACTCCTATCAACCCGACAGGCCTATAGTAGAACTGCCCCTGTGGGTTTCTAAGACTGGACTCTCTCTGGGGATCTCTGGTGGCATAGTGGGTTACACCTTGGGCTGCTAACCACAAGGCCAACAGTTCAAAACCACCAGCTGCTCCATGGGAGAAAGACGAGGCTTTCCACTCCTGTAAAGAATTAGTCTCCGAAACCCACAGGGGCAGTTCAACCCCACCCTCTAGGGTCACTAGGAATCAGAATCAACTCAATGGCAATGAGGGTTGTTTTTTGAAACCTTTATGGAAGGAGACTGCCTCCTCGTTCTCCCTCGGAGCCACCGAAGGATTCCAACCTCTACCTTCCAGGCAGCAGTCCAATCCCTGAAACCCCTGAGCCACCAAGACTCCAGCTGCTTGTAAGTGTTTCCTAAACTCAGGGCCTCAGGCCCCGCGGAGGGAAGACGGGACACTCTGTACTTACTTCACGTGGGAGAAAAGCTGATGAAATCGTTACCAGTGTAAAGCAGTCAGGCCAGAGCCTGATACAGAGAACACTGTACAAAGGTTACCTCCTCTTTCATTTAGCTGGGATTTATTTAACTTTAATTCTGTATGGGTCTGACCCAATCTGTCCTTGGGATAATACCTATCTAGGGCCTTCAGGACCTCACTGGCCCATGCTGGGGAGGGAAAGAGCCTGGCATCTTGTCTCAGCCCATATTCTGGGAGCCAGTGCGCTGGTCAAGTACTATGCCCCCTCCTTCAAGCGGCCAGCAGTCCCTGCATGGCCAGGGGCTCTATCCCCCTCCAGTGGCCTCCTCTGTGGTCCCCACGGTTCCTTTTCTCCTGGGAGCACTGATGGATCCTGTACCTGGGCCCAGGAGCAGCCCGCTTCCCAGAGGCCTCCAAGGGAAGAAAGTGGTGTTAGGCTGTGCCCACTGCTGACCACAGAGGTCTTTCCAACCACCCCGTGGGTGTGTGCTAGGGGAACTCTGAGCACAATTCCTATTGGGTGGGTGGTCTTGACCTCCACCACCACCTACCCCCAATCCCAGCCTCTCCTTAGACCACCCACAGCATAATGTTCCTTGCCCCCTGCTCCATGGTAGACCAGTCGCCACCTTCATGGGCAGGTGAACACATTCCCTGGGCGAGCTGGCCCTTCGAGGGGTGGGGCTCAGGGGGGGATGCAACGTCTGTCAGCTTTCAGAACAAACTCACGGTTTACCTTGTATCCCTGCACCTCCTTCCTGCAGTGCCAGCAAAAGCACACAGGCAGGCCTCCACAAACACAGCACACTGCAAGCACCCACAGGCTGGGAAGCACTGAGCAGCTTCAGGACCTGCCCCCGAGCCCACCATGTCCAGGGCTGCGGAGACAAGGCCGCTTCTGCCTCTTTGTGATGGTGGGAGGCCGACACAGGCCAGCAGCTGGGTCTTAGGAGGGCCTGTGTTCTCCAGAGAGATGGCGGGAGGGGCATCCCGAGAGCCCCCAGAGAAGGCCAGACAGGGCTGGGCCAAAGGACCAGGCACCTGCTCACTTAGCACCCACTGCTAAGAAAGCACTTTATAGGGGTCCTTGTTATTGGTCCCTGGGTGGTGCCAACAAGTGGCCATGAACTGAAAGGCTAGTGGCCCCTACAGGCCCCTCAGAAGAAAGGCCTGGTGGTCCGCTCCCATGGGACCACAGTTCTGTCCCGACACACCAGGGCTTCCCCATGAGTCCAAATGGACCCGTGGCACTTGCTTTTGTTGGCATTGGGGTTACGGACAGCCAGCTCCAGATTCGGGGATGTTTTTAGAGGTATGGCATAACGAGAGGACTTAGAAACACAATAAAAAAGAGCTGGGAATGTTAAGTCACCGACAAAGGAAAAAACATCTTGGGGGAGGGAGCTCCAAGTATCCATTAGCACCTGCTCAGGAGCCTCCTCCTGAGTGGAGACTAACAGAAGTGTTACCCATGCGGGCTGGGTCTAAGCTCGATGCCCATTCCCAGGCCGGATGCCCTCTGCACACTCCACACCGGGGGTACGTGCCCCCTTCTGTGCCAAAGACCCCTTTGACAGCCTGGTAAAGCCCACGGTCTCCTTCTTAAAACAGTCTTCTCTGTACAACCAATATGAAACGCACCATAGCACTACCTCCAACAGCGGAGTATTGAAATCCCATTGGCCCCACCATGCCTCCTCTGTGTCTGTGCCTTAAAGAAGTAAGAGACACACACAGAGAGAGATGCATGTGCTCCCATGAACATGGGAGCACTGGTCACCATAGCAAGAAGTTGAACACAGCCCCCAAACCCATCAGTAGAAGCCTGGCTAAAGAAACGGTGTATACACCCAATGGAATACTATGCATCGCTGAAAAAGCAATGGTGGCGCCAGGAAGCACCTCACATCATGGACGGACCTGGAGAGCATTGCACAGAGTGAAGTTAGTCAGGCATCAGAAGACAAATGTTTCCTGAGACCACTAGCATCAGGGTAAAAACCAAGACACAAACTGGCAGACCCAAGGGACAGATTTGAGGGCTCCCGGGAGGGGAGATGATGCAATGGACTAAAGACTGACAGGTACAGACTTGGGCGTAAAGGAGAACAAAGGGGAAAGAGAAATCAGGGGAGGTGGTGGGTAGAAAACAAGAGTGGAGTTTGATGAGCGGTTTAAACTGTTGAACGCAGAATACTCTGAAATGTAATCCCCCCCCCCCACTAATTCACAATAAAAAAATTCCTTTTTAAAAAACGAATCACATGCTCAAACGCATAAAACAAAGTACACAGACGACAAAGGAAACCAGTACCATTGAACTACACCTACTCACATCTTTTCTTAAAACTCAGATTTATGGCACCCTGACACTAGGTCCTCCCTGCTTTATGAAGGCATTATAAATCAAGATCTAACCGGGGGCCCAACAGTGACTGCAACTGTGGGGAGCTAACAAGCACGGACAGTATTTCATGGTCTCGGCAACAGCTAGAGTGGGGCGTGGAAATCGCTGTGATTTTTACTGGAGGCCAGGTCACAGGTGCTGCTAATCCTGCTGTGGTTTGGGGTCCACATGCACAACGAGGGACACCAAGTTCCAGTTACTCTCTCTCTCTCTCTGTCTCTCTCTCTTAGTATCGGCGATGCCATCTCTGTCAGAATAGAACTGGGCCCCACATTGATCAGAGGTCGATTCTTCATGTGTCTAGCTTCCAGGTATCTTTGGTGGGCTTTCCAACGGCTGCCAAGAACGTTACCACGTGTGGCACGCGGGGACAGCCACGCGTCGGTTGGTTGTGTCGGGGCTGTGATTTCAGTGAGGGTGTTGCATCCCCCTCAATCTTCTCCGTGGGGTTTCCCATCTCTCTCTGCTTCCAAGCTCCTTCTCCCTAATGGGTATGATAGGTGAGTCGTGTGTCCATTGGCTGGGCCAGCATTCTCGTGATTTGGCGATTAAGGCTTCGTATGGCCTAACATAATGCAATCGGCTCCATAATGGGAACTGTTATGAGCAGTCAATCGGTTGTAAGAAGGTTAGGGGGTGGTGCAACACCCTCACTGAGGTCACAGCCCTGACCCAATCAACTGAAAGGACGCTTCCTCGGGAGTGTGGCCTGCTTCCAATAGAGGAGACACTGTGGAAAAGCTTGCTGGATTTTCTTTTGCTGGGTCTGGATCCTGCATCGGACTCGCTGATTTCTGGTTCTGTGGATCTGAGTCAAAGGCCTGCCAATCCTGGGTGACTCCGGCCGCCTGCCATCTGACTTGCTGACCTTAGATTCATGTGTCCCCCCAACCAGCAGCTTGTAGCCTCCATAGCTATGTGAGTCAAGAGAAGTCCTTACCAGGCTACCATCTGACCCACAGACGTAGAACTCACCTGGACTTGAACCTTCCTGCTTCTACAACTGAGTGAGCCACTTTCCTGATATAAATGTCTTTCTATAAATAAATGTCACTAGTTTGGGTTCCTTAGAGAACCCAGCCTAAGACACTGAGAAATCCCCTCCCTGGTCTAGAAACACAGTAAACCCTCTCTGGTTCCTGCTTACACATGTGTGTTACATGATGCACAGCCAACCCCTTCTGTCTATTCCTGAGGAGTGGGTAGGGAAGGAGATCCCCCCAACTGCAGCATGGAAGAGGGGTGCAATCACCAGCCCTACCTCACCTGCAGAGTGAGACCCCTGGGCCGGACTGAGACCCTCCGGTGAGACTGCCCCTGCCCTGTTCCTTCTCTGGGTGAGTGAATCATTATGGGAACCAGTGCCTGCTTCTAAGTCATGTCTTGCTCGGTGACCTTGGGAGAGAGGCATGGCTTCCAACATCATTGCAAAACAAAACAAACGAACACAAACCAACCCACCCTTTCATTCTTGGAATAAAAGGTGGAGTCATCAAAAAACATTGAAAGATAAAAACACTCCATGGATCCAACCCTTCTCTCCCTCAGCGCCCCGGGGCACCATTCCACTGGGCTAAGATGGCAGTTTTCTCAGATGTCTGTCCGTTCTAAGAGGGTCCTTCACCCAGCCCCAACACGCCCACTCCCCATCACACAGGGAAGGCAAGGCATGAGAAGCAAAGGGGAGACCTACCCTCAGGCGTCTCCACGCTGCTGGATGCTGTGGTCGGCGGGGCGACGGGAATCTCTTCGTGAGGTTCAGGGTCATGGGAAGAAGAGAGAAGAAGGTTGGCCGATGTTATTTGTGATCTTACAGAGTCTGAGCCCTGTGTCAGCCTGCCTGGGGCCCTGTCTCCTTTGCCTAATCTACAGCTCGCACAGGCAGGGAGCAGGATGGCCCCAGAAACAGGGTCCAGGGGATCCAGGGTGCTGGCACTGTCCCTCCGGCTGGCTGCTGGCGGGGCTGGATGCAGAGAGGCGGTGGCAGCACGCTGGCACCTGGAGAACCACCCCGGCTCCTTGGCAGGAAGGAGCTTGTGATAGGGGATGCTCACAGGAGCCTGAGTTTGCCAAGCCTTGGTCTTGAGAGGCAAATCGTGTCCTTGTGGCCGGCCTTGCTTGCTGGGAGCCACTGCTTCTCCCACCCTTTCTTAGACGAGGTCAGCCTGGCAGAAGGAACCCCCAAGGTAAGGCCAGGCTTGTGGTCGATAAACCACCAGACTAGATGCTTCCAATCCAGGCTAATTCTCACCTCAGGCGAAACTCATTGGTATCAAGTCAGTTCATAGCAACCTGATAGGGATGAGACAGGGTAGAGCTGCCCCTGTGGCTTTCTGAAACAGTAACTCTTTATCAGAGGAGAAAGCCTCATCTTTCTCCCACAGAGCAGATGGTGGTTTGGAACTATGGACCTTGTGATTGGCAGCCCACTGGTTATCCACCACACCCCCAGGGCTCCTGGCAGTAAACTACTGGAACCCTTCTGTGTGAGCCTGCCATCTGGCTCACCACCTCGCTATGACCCACAGACTCAAGGGTCCCCTGGGGAGTGGGTGCCAACCCAGGAGCTCTTGTCCAGCGCCCCTCACTGCCTCTGGGTTCCCGTCCTTCCCACTCTGATCGGCTGGGGGGAAGTGGGGAGCTGGGCAGTAGCAGCAGCAGTAGTCCTGGGCCGGGCCAGGCCAAGTTCTGGGTCAGGGCAGAAGTTGGGAAGTGACCCTGGACTGAGGACAGAGGTTTGCTAGCACAGGCTGGCTCAGCTGACCCTATAGCTCCACACACACACCCTCCCCACACCCAGGGGTCCCCTTAAAGGCACTGGACATAGACCCGCACTGAGGAGGACACAGGGGACAAGCATCCTGAAAGGGTTCAGCCCCATTCTCGAGCCACAGAAAGAGGGTGGCCAGGAGGCACGTACTTATGCAGGGGGCAATGGGGGAGCGGCTCTGCTGGTAGCCTTTGGCACAGCGGTTGCAGGTGATGCCCGTCACGCCGTCCTTGCAGGGACACTGGCCTGTGGTCTGGTTGCAGGTTTTGCCAGCGGCGCCCACGGGGTGGCAATCACAAGCTGAGGAGAGGACACAGAGAGAGGGTTAGAGGGGCAAAGACACTTCCCCCCACCAAAAAAAACACCCAAAGACCAGTCAGGCCAGGAACACACACTTCCCAGGTCCTCCCCACCCAGAAGCGCCCCCACGGACCCCATCCCAGTGGCCTCAAAGCCCAGCCCACACACATTCCAGAAACTCTGATCCTGGCCACCCTGGAAATGGGGACAGAAATCCAAGCGGCTGGACTTGCAAGGGCTGTGTCTGCAGCGGGTGAGGCTGGGGAGCCCCCCAGCAGGCCCAGAGGAAGGCCCACCTTGGAAGACAGTTTCCGGAGTGCAGGGGCACAGTCAAGCCCTAAGGGAGGAGGAGACGGCCTGGGGAGGTGCGCACTCCCGGCAAAGGGGGCTCCACCCCTCCTCTCGGCCCACAGGTCTCCCTCCTGACTCTCTGGGTGGGACGCATGAGCTCCGGGGTGAGGTGGAGCTGTGGGGCTGACTCAGGTCAGGGAGGTGCATGCAGCTCCCCCTGGCTGCTGCCCCCCACCTCCCCGCCTCCTGCTCCCCTTGGCCCTCCCACCCTGCTTTGCAGCCAGAGCAGCCTGGCTTCTGGATCAAAAAACCCATAAACTGTAGCACGGTGTCATTTACAATTTATAATCACAGGGATTAAAGGTGCGAACCAAGACGGGAGATTTACAAGACCCTCCCAGGGGCTGGGAAGAGGGGACAGGCCCAGCTGGGGCTGAGCGAGGCCCCCCAGTCTCAGCCGGTGGGCGACGTGTCACGGGCAGGCTCCACATCCTTTGGCCAAGATTTGAAAGGAGCAGAGGAGGGGTCCACCCTGCCAGGCTGCCTCCCTCCCTGTGTTCTCGGTACCTCATCCCAGAGGGCTCTGGGAAGATTTCCCCACCAGTACGGTGACACTGGGCAAGCCTAGCTATGCTAGCAAGCCCCGCCCCCTAAAAACCCTGCAGGTGTCGGAGTAGAACTGGGCTCCACGGGGTTTTCCATGGCTGATCTCCATGCCTTTCTTCTCAGGGGCCTCTGGGTGGGATCCGAGGTGCAGCCTTTCTGTTAGCAGCAGAGTATTAATTGTTCCCACCACCTACCCAGGGACTGACTCCATCAACCGGTGGGATCCCCGCCTACACCCTGCCTCTCTGCTTCCGGGCGAGGAGCCCTAGTGGCGTCATGCTGATGCATTTGGTAGTGAGCCGCAAGGTCGGTAGTTGGAAACCACTAGGCACTCCTCGGGAGAAAGGCGAGGCTTCTTATTACTGTCGAGTGACAGTCTCCGAAGCCCACAGAGGCTGCTCTCCCCTGTCCTACAGGGTCACCATGAGCAGCATGGACTCGGTGGCCATGAGTGTCCCCAGGCAGTGGGCTCAAGTCGGAGGGAGGACCAAGGAGGCCAATGTTCAGCCACCCTCCCCATAGCCAGAGAGAAAGGAGATGGTCCCCAGGAAGGGGTCCTATCACCACTGGTGATATTCGTTTCTAGTCCACATGGGAGGGAATGAAAGAACTCACTGCCGTCCAGTCGGTTTGGACTCACCTATAGGACAGGGTAGAACTGCCCTGGTTAGTGGCCAACACTGTACCTCTTACTAGAGTAGAAAACCCTATCTTTGTCCCCAGGAGCGGCTTGTAGTTTCAAACTGCGGACCTCGCAGTTCGCAGTCCCACCCACCACCACCATGCCCCCAGGGTTCTCGGAAATCCCCAGGGGAAGCTATATCCTGCTCTATGGGGCCGCTATGGGTCCGACTCAACTCGATGGCCAAGAGACCTTGGGAGGGAACTATCCAAGAAAATAAGTGAGTGTCAGGATCACACAGGATCAAGCCCGGCCCAGCCTGAAGGCAGCAGTCTGCCGACGGAAATGCTGCCTCTCCCAGGTGGCTCTGGGCCCGAAACCGGTTAATGAGAAGTGGGAAGAGGAAGGAGGGTGGGAGGGAGGGAGGGAAGCCGGCAGGAAAGGAATGTGAGGAATTGTTTGTTGAAGGTGTGTCTGGACAGGGGAGAACTTCTGGAGGCAGTGAGGGTCCTGGGGGTGGGTGCTCTCTGGCAGGTTAGGAAGGGGACAGGGGACAAGTCTCAGGACCCCAAGCAGGCAGCCTGGATGGCATTGCCCCAAGCAGACAGGGTTCACACGGCCCCCCTCCCTTTCTTTAAACTGTGGTCAAAGTCCCCATAAGCCAACAGAGACAGATTCCGTCATGTGTCCATGTGCAATTCAGTGATCCTGAGGACACTTTTCAAGTGGTGCAATCCTCCTCACCCTCCCTTTCCGGATCACCCCGCCACCTCTGACCACTTCAACGCCCCCCCCTCCCCCATTTACTCAGCTTCCCTCTGAGCCTTGAGATTTGCTCATTATCTTCGGCTTCTACCGTATATGCTCGTGTAGAAGCCGAGTTTTTCAGCACATTTTTTATGCAGTTTTTGTGGTAAAATTAGGTGCCTCAGCTGATATTCGGGTCAGCTTATACTCGAGTATATACGGTTTGCTTATTTCATGTAAGTGAGATCACAGCAGTATTTGTCCTTTTGTGACCAACTTGTTCGGCTCAGAGTGATGCTCTTGCGGTCCGCCTGTGTGGTGACGTGATTCAGGACGCTCTCTTTCTCTCCCGTAAGGAGTCCTGGTGACACCATGGCTCAGTGTCAGGCAGCTGAACCAAGCGCTGGTGCTTGGAACCTGCCCGTGGAGCCCATGGGGAACAGAGACTTGGCATCTGCGCTCCTAAAGATAGTTATGGTTGCCGGGGGCCACCGAGTCAGTTCTGGCTCACAGCAACCCTGTGTGCAACAGAACAGGCCACTGCCCAGTCCTGAGTCATCTCCACAATCGTTCTTAGGTTTGAGCCCATTGTTGTAGCCACTGTGTCCATCCATCGGGTCAAAGGTCTTCTGGTCGGCTGCCTCTCTACTTCACCAAGCATGATGTCCTTCTCCAGAGACTGGTCTCTCTTGATAACACCTCCAAAGGACACGAGATGAAGCCTTGCCAGCCTTGCCTGCAAGGAGCGTTCTGGCTGTACTTCTTCCAAGACAGACTTGCTTGTTCTGTTCCCAGTCCACGGTAGCTTCCACGTTCCTTGCCAGCACCATCACTCAACGCGGCGATTCTTCTTTGGTCTTCCCCATTCATTGTCCAACTTCCACATGCATAGGAGGCGACTGACAACATGCGCTTGAATGAGGTGCACCTTCGTCCTCAAGGTAACCTCCTTGCTGTCAACACCATAAAGATTACAGTCTAGGGACCTCGATGGGGGGCAGTTCTTCTGTCACAGGGGGTGGCTGAGAACCAGAGCCAACTGGAAGGCACGTAGCAACAACAGTAGCCCAATGTCATATGGAAGGAATATGACTACTTAATAGGAAATTATGCTTGCTTCCTATCAACATAAACTTCATAGTAAGACAGATGCTAGAACTCCGAAGGTCCATCCTTGAATGTTGGGGTGCAGCAGATGATGACGGTGAGGAGGGCTGGTGTGAGAGTGGGGAGCTGAGAGGATTGCCTTTGAACGTTCCCCTCATTTCCCATTGCCGTGGAGCAGACACCCCTCCTGGCAGCCCACGTGGGCCACAGCAGCACTGCACTCCACCAGGCTTCCAGTGAGGCCAGTCACCCCAGGCCTTTCTTCCGAGTGCCCGTGGAAGTGCCATGCGACTCTCCAGCTTTTCTGCCAGCAGTCACAAGCATTAACTGTTTGTGCCACCCAGTCGAGGGCTTTTCCTTGAAATATAAAAAAACAAAAACCCACACTCACTGCCAGAGTTGATTCCAATTCAGAGTGACCCTATACGACAGGGTTTCTGAGACCGAAACTCTTTTATGGGCATCGAAAGCCTCCACTTTCTCCCTCGCACCAGCCCGTGATTTCGAACAGCTGATCTTGCAGTTAACCCAACATGTAACCCACCAACCACCAAGGGTCCTGTCGCCATGATGGGAAGGGTGACTGAGCACGGGACACAGCTCTAAGCTGCCCGTGTGAAAGCAGAGAGCCACAGCTGTCCTGGGCCACTTCACACGGGCGTGGACAGGAGCGGATGTGGACTCCCAGGCTCATGCCGGCTGACCTCCTTTGGCAGGCGTCACGAGCCTGCTGGTAATCCACAGCTCCGAGCCAAAACACTCTCCCTTTGGTGCTGATGGGACACAGCTGTGCACCAGTCATATCTGGATCCTTGGACTTGAGTGGAAGAGGTCACTACCGGTCGCTCAGTTACTGAAGTGCAGAACCAAGCCCCACTCGGGTACCACCTTGGCCCAGGTCGCCTCCCTGGGCAGGTGCTGGCCCAGGGCAGAATGTGGGCACAGCGCAGGAGGACAGGGCTATTGTTCTCACACACTGCCCCCTCTACTCCCAGGCAGTGGTGACTGGCTTGGCTGTCCTTGGGCATCTGAGATCTGCTGGGGCTGAGGGCATCCCCAGCAGTGCCAGAGCAGCTGTGCCCTTGCATGCACTTCCTGTGGGCCCATCGTTTGATTCCAGGGGAGGGGGTGCCAGCCACTTAGTTTCTAAGCCCTTCTCCCAAGATTCTACAAACTCCCACCAGTGGCCCCCTGCTGTTGTTGGCTTGGATTCCTGGTGATCCCACCACAAGGGCGCAAAACCCCACCAGGGCCTGCACCACGCCCGTAATCAGTTGCTGGCCAGACCCTTGGGATCCAGAGAGTCTTCGCTGGCTGGTTATTTTCGAAGTCGATTGCCAGGCCTTTCTTCCTCGTCCATTCTCATCTGGAAGGGCGACTGGCACCTGTGCAGCCGCATGTTTACATGCAAGCCTCCAGGACGGTGGCCAGTGGCAGTGCATGATGTGCCCTGCTGGGGAACTGAACCTGGGTCTCCTGTCTGGAAGGTGAGCATTCTACCCCTGAATCAGGGCCCTCTCTTAGTTTGGTCTAAAAGCAGCAGCGGGCTGACTTGTTCGGGATAGCGAGGCGATCAGAGTCCCAAAGGGTGGGAGTGGGGCTGAGCTAGGGAGAGCGTGGACGGGAG